ATCTATCTATCTATCTATCTATCTATCTATCTATCTATCTAACGTCTACTGAGCTAAATAGCTCGTTCAAAACACGTTCGTGCTAACAGAAAATTGTTTTAAATGCCTTATTTACATTAACTCTATTTACCCTCGGTAGTATTTATAGCACTAATGCTAGTGGGGCTGAGCAAATGCCTGAAACAAATAATCTAAATCAAACTTAACAGTTTTAAGAGTCCCAAATGGCTGGAGGCAAACTAGCTGGCTATTTACAAGTGTGGCCTAGGATTTGAACCCGGAACCACCGAGAACAAATCCAGCTAGCGGTCACAGCGAGTTTTGAACTCGGGGCCTCCGAATTGCAAGCCAAGAGCTCTAAGACTCCTTTAACCACTTGTCCACACTGTGGCTTCGACAGCGCGCCCTCGTAGATAAACCATTAAATACCATCATCATATTGCATTCTTCTTTGCTGAATTATAGATTGCTCAATAAGAATCACCTTCAGTCAATCAGTGATGAAGCATTCGAAGCCCAGAGACAGCTTGATATATTGTAAGTATAGTCCGCTTTACTGAAAATATGTTATGATGACGGGACCAAGGCAGAGTAAAGAAAGTAGTTACCTCGTATTGTATTATAGAGAAGGAAAATCCATTATGAATAATTAAGGCACACTGAGCACAGGTAATCATCATATGTCTGTGATAATGGTGTAAGTACTACCATAAATATTTCGAACGAAACATGACGAGTTTTAAAAATATTTAGAAGGAATTTTTACGTACAAAGCACTAGGTTAGAGAAACATAAGCGTTCGATCGTCTTCCAGATTTGGCGTAAAACTGTGGAATGAGATACCGTGTAGCTTGCGAAATCTACACAAGAAGGAATTTAAAACAGAAATTCGACAACTTCTCCTAGATATTTTGGTAAAAGAAACCCGGAGTAGTCAATCGATAAAAATCGGTATCGATTTATTAATAGATAAATCGATAAAAATCGGTAAATCTGATTTGATTGATATCGATTGTATCGATCAATCGGTAGAAATCGATGACACACCTTTTTCGTTTACTGATTTCATGCAAACAGTGAATTGGTTGACAATTGAGTTGCAGTCGAGAGTGGAAGGATCAAACAATTTATTATCACTTTTTTAAAAAAAAAGTCTGAAAAAACCTTATCTTTTTTTAAAAAACCCGCTTTAAAGTCTTCTTCGGATGGCCGATATTGGCCAGGTTTTTTTTATTTTTCCCAGTTTTTGACGATTTAGGTCTGCCGCCCTTTCAAAATAACCTCGGTTCCTTCCCGGAGTAGAAAATAGATAAATAACGAAATCGATAAAGATCGTTAGCGATCAAGCGATTTTATCGATTGATAACGGAAAACGGTGAAAAGCTATCGAAAGAAATCTTTTAGTCTGAATTTCAGGCATCCCTTTGACTCTAGAGTATGTCTGAAATTCAGGCGGGGAAATCTTTTATCTAAGATTGTATTTCTCGTGGTACTTGCCTGCGAGAACTGCGAATGTAATTATAAAACCGAACCGTTTCTGTTAT